CAGTATTGATGAATCATGATAGTTTTTTATTGCCAACAACCGTAATGGTGTATACTTAATACATAAGTCAAAAAAGTAAACTTCCATTTGTCTGTCGTAAAATTTTCTTTTGTTGAGTTGTGTCACTATTCATGTGGGTGCGCCATATATTCTTCTTTCGTTTATATTTTTCTTTATTTTTTAATAATGGGTTATTTTTATTATATCATTTTTAGGGTGTTTAAGAACATAAAAACGTATCATGTCTCTTGATAATTTATTTATCAATTAAAATAATATTAAAAATTACAATAAAAATACACACTATGAACTGTGTATGTATTTAATTGACATATTTCAAACTCATGACAAATAAATTATTAAATAGTAAGTCTTACTGTTGGTATGTGAATATTAAAAATACAAAGTGTTTATAAAAATCATTCTAAACAAAGCTTTCTATTATAAAGAACAATAATCAGATTTGCAAGAGGATGAGAAGATTCACATTCTGGAACAAGAAACCGTACCCAGAGGTCCTTATTAGCGTCGCCAGCAAATCACCACTAATTTGGTCTTTAAGGCTACCCACAAATCCACTGTTTATCACCGTGCTTATAATTTACAACAATCTAATTTACATATAATGTCGATTATATGAATTATCCCCCCCCCTCTTTGCAAAAATCGAAACATGTATTTATTCCAAGTTTGATATAGCAAAAAACGGATAATAGGTGGCGAAGGATCAATTTAAAAGGTAATGCTTTCGTAATCAATATAACAAATAAAATATAAAGTTATGCATTTCTAGAAAAGTTGTATTTTTACTCGTTCTTTGACTTGAACAAACGAAAATCAAACCCTCGAAGTTATACGAAGTTGTTCAATATGCAACAGTGAAAAGTAGCGAAAAGAGAGGAGAGAGATAGATAGAGATAGATAGATAGAGAGGGAGAGAGAGACAGATTAAACGTTTTATTTAATCACGCAAAGTTAGGTCACGTGAACCTTTCTTCCACTTAACGTGAGCAGTAACAATTTACATTATACATTTTTACATTACATTTTACATACATTTTTATACATACATTCTTTTGTTTAGAGAATCCAAAAACACATAATATAAAACACAATATTATTAATTTATGAATCCATGATTTTATGATATTAACTATTTTCCCTCAGATGTTTTAGATATTTTCTTTTGAAAGTACGAAAACTGCTGTCAGAGGAAATATTAGTAGTATACATACAGGTATATGCTGGTAATTAAGAAAGAGCTGGAGTATGTTTTAGTTCTATGAATTTGAATTCGGAATATATTGCTTTGTCTTAAGTTTAATGTTTCAATTTTGAGAGAGAGAGAGAGAGAGAGAGAGAGAGAGAGAGAGAGAGAGAGAGAGAGAGAGAGAGAGAGAGAGGTAAGAATAGAATATTATAATGAAAAAGCATGATGGGTGAAATGGAAAGAAAGAGAGCGGGAGGATGAAAGAAGCGATCGAAATCGAAAAAAGAGAGAAATAGGGGAAGGAGATAATGTTCCCGATATCGTTCTACCTTAAGGTTATAATTATCTTGTCCTTAAAACTTCTTTTAGCAACCTAAACGATATTTAATTGGTTTGATTTTTGACATGAAAAACTGATTAACAGGTGAGCTATTTGTTATAAATTTATGCCTTATGCTAGGCTTTGAAGCCTATCATGCGAAACGCGATGTGTAATGTAAAGTTCAAGTATTATAAATATAGGAAAGTTGTGAGAAAATAGAATTGCAGTTTGATTCGTTTAGTTGTAAATCAATGAATTATGGAGGATCGTACATTTCTCTCCTTTCTCTCTCACTCTCTCTCTCTCTCTCTCTCTCTCTCTCTCTCTCTCTCTCTCTCTCTCTATCGCTTNCACACACACACACACACACACACACACACACACACACACACACACACACACACACACACACACTTTCTCAACTCGCCTCGCCATAAATCTAAATTGTGCCCAGCATGTAACAGCCAAGCCGGGTCAAGGCTTTTAGAAACCACAATTAACCGATGTAATGTGTGTGTATTCAGCATATCAAATAGCCCCAGCTAGACCAAGTCGGTCCGATTTCATACGATGCTAATGATGTCGACCACTGTCAGCTTTGTCATTAGTGATATAGCTAGTATTGCTAGTTTCTCTTGGCCTCTTGCTCCTCTTAATAACATGCCTGGTACCATTATCGTTGATCAGTTCAAAAGTTATTTAGTCTACGACACAGAAGAAAATTTAAGACTAAAGCTGTAAATAAATAATAAAAGAAACACTAATGTTCTAATGATGAAATTTGGTTAGATTTTCTTAAACTGACATTAAATATATCTATATTTTTGAACGAGTTTAACATATTTGTTGTTCTTGGTCTTACAGTGGAAGCTTATAAAATTTTACGTATAACTGGATCATGGGAATGTTTAGTATGGTCTGTGATAATTCCTAAAGGTTTATTAGTTTTAGCAATAATTTTATTAATGTGTGTGTGAAAGATTATCTGACTGTCAATAATGACCCCAAGATTTGTTAGAATTTAAAAGAATATTATTAGTTGAACGCCAAATTATGTTTTAGTAAGACATATGGAAATTGTAAGCAGCCAGAAACAGGATTAATTTTTAAGAATATGTTTAAATAATCTGCGAAAAGTAGGTTTATAACGAATAGAAGATATCGTTTATTTAGATTTTAAAACGAAGCGGCCCTAAGTGCGACCCTTGAGGAACTCCAGAGCTTGCTAGAAAATTATGAGACAATACCGATTTTAATTTTACTTTAACCATTCGAGCTTCTAAATAGGATGCAAACCAACGTAATAAAGTACTATGTATGCCTAATTTTTGTAATTTCTGTAGTAGAATCGTATGATCAACACTATCGAAAGCTTTTGAAAAATCACTGTAAATGTAATCAACTTGTAATCCTTCAGATAAAGATTGTAATATATAATCTGTAAATATTAGTAAGTTGGTTAATGTAGATCTTTACGAATGAAAACTATGATAAGTAAGGTGTATACAAAACAAGAGAAAAGAGAAATATAATAATACATTTATTAATAATAAGTTAATTACTTAAAAACATTACAATGGTACACTACTCCGATAACAGAATGACCTGCTTTATGGTAGGTGCCTATAAAAAGCTATATTTTCGACAGAATATCGAGAAAATCTACGATATAACATACGAAAAATTAAACTTTCAATCTTTAAGTTCAATTTAATATTGAATAGTTTTTATTAACTTGTTTAATTGTGTGTCGTTTGGTAGTGAATGGGAGATTTGGCACTCAATAGCTGTTTTTTTAGAAATTTATAGAATGTTCTGGTGATAATCGATTTAAAAGGATATCTATTTCAAGATATATATGACGTGTTTTAGACTATTAACGCCATATTTGGACCGAACATTTATTGATGATTCTACACTCCAAAATAAGAGACAAATATCCGCCATTTCTTGTGAAGGCCCTGGTTTTGCCCAAAAAAATTTGAAAGTTGAAATTTTCCGGTTTTTAATATTTTTATTTCGCGTTCTACTTGCTCAAATGAACTGTGAATATATCATTTTACAACATGTCGATTATAATAAAAATATAGTCAAAGCTATCTAAGTTTAAAACTATCCAAAAAATTTCAAAAAACCAATTCTTTTTTCAAGAAAACTAGGTCATAATTTCTTTTCTTAAAACTAATATGAAATTTCGTTTTAGCACCTCCAGAGACCCCTAAATGTAAATTTTTGTTTGAATTTAAATGTATCGATTTTTTGACCCCTTATATTTTCCCACATTTTTCTTCATTTTTTTTAAGAATTCGTTATCGCAATATCTGATTGAAACGGCTATAATTAAAAATAGGCTAAAAGGATTTTTAACGACGTACGTACCATAAAAATATATAAAAGATTTTTATAAAAAAGTACTCAAAATAGGAATATCATTTGTCAAAAATTAACCTCGGGTTTTTAAATAGAAATAATAGTACGGTTTTAATATTTGATACAGTAATAAAATGCACTTGACAATTTTTTTTAAATGAATTATCAACCATAAAAATCGGTTTTGATAAAAATGTTGCTACAGCTTGCTCTAGGAATGTCAGTCTCGCAGGTCGTCGAAATCATCAGTCAAAAAATTAATTTACACTGATTTCGGCGAAAGTTGGTATTTAAGGATTTTATCAACGAGGTCAAATCCAAGTTTCGACCATTTTCTAACCTACTTTGCTTATAGAATGTTTGTTAAAATATGCAAAAAATTCATTATTTTGTCGATTTATCTTGTTAAATCGTACAAAATTATAATATTCTCCGTTGAAGAACACACGTTTTTATGTTAACCAACAATGAAACTGTTATAACAAAACATATTTTTTAATCTATTCGCAATAACTGGCGCATACGTGTCCGATATTTTGGAGTGTAGAATCACCAAAAAAAGTTTCGTCCAAATCTACGACACAGCAACCTGGTCGTCCCCTTGTAAGTTTTGTAAATGGGATTGTCGAGTAGTCCAGAAATACCTTGGGAGTGTTTCAAGGTGGTATTTTTATCTGCTGGACTTTTAAAAAGCCGATGTGCATTGAACTCGTGTTGGGCGACGATAAGGAAAAATGCTTCAGTAACGTGTCGGGGAATCAGTTGCAAATGTACGCGGCGTGTGAAGTCTCGCTATGTATGTTACGGGGGGGAACATGCGCCTTGTAGTGGCCGGCACAATCAGCTGATCGCCCCACTTCTGAATCTGACAGCACGCCCAGTCCTCAACCTACGACCGTCTTTCTTTCCTTTTGTGACGGCTCTGTGCGCGGGTTCTGCCAGTGTCCCACTTTTATCCGTTCCACCCCCTCCCTGTGTTTTTTGAGCTTTTGTGAGAGAAAAACCAACACCCTCCCCCGAAACCCCTGACCGGCAGAAATTTTTTTTTTAAATTCGTTCAACTTCCGTTTACTAATAGCCGTGTGTTTTGACCGCTAGGATGGAGACACCGACAACTAAAGTGATGAAAGAACCGACGACGGTGCCGGCCGCCGGAGAAGAGCTCGAGAAGAAGCCCGACCTACCCAAAAGACTCACAGACATCAAGAATCTTCAATTCATGCAGGTTGGTCCCTTCTTCCATATGTTACATAATGAGTTTTTTCAGCTAATCCATCATAACAAACGACGGTCCAGGTCCATAACGAAAAGTAATTAATTATTATTGCCTATAATCAAAGGTACCAGCAATCCTTGTAACGAAGAAGTCTTACGTGACACGTGTACTCCCAAGGTTTGCTGTTTAACTGTCCTTTTGAATTGAAGAGAAAACATTTTAGATTATTGTATCAGAGGAATTGATAATTTTTTAAATTCTTATATGTTTAACGGTCATAATTAACTTATTTAATTATTTCAATTAATTATAATTTTATCTAAAGTCTGGGTTCCGATGAAAAAGTCAGTGTCACGAGCGGGATTCGAACCCACGACCTTCGGCTAAATCCAGGTGGGTTCACACTGACTTTTTCATCTCAACCAAAACTTTAGATAAAGTTATAATTAATTGAAATTATTTATAAAATATAATTGCTTTATATTTATATTATTTATTAATATGTAAGTACGTCAGATCGGATTGCGTTACGCTTTCTTTAAAAAGCCGTGAATTTTCGATGTTTTAAATTCAGCAATACTTAAATTATATAAAAAATAATGAAAAAATCACATACATTCATTGTTAACAGATATAGTTGAAAATCAACAAAAATACCGATAAAATTGTTTAAATTTTGATATTTTAATATTTTCGGCCATTTTTTTAGAAGGTTCGTATATACACAAGTTACTTTTACGTTTCGGAATTATTGCCATAATAATTGTTTATTTTAATACGAAACGAAAACTTACATTAATACTTAATATCCCACGTGGTCGATACCGGCCGGCTTTTCAGTACAGGATTTACCGACGATGTATTTGAACATAATGGATGATTGAATTTCAAATAAAAATGGCAACGATAATCGACGGTTATGACAAGCCCGTAATAATTATATAACAAAACTGTACATATGTAGGAAAAATTTAAATAATTTAAGTGATTAAAATTTGAATGACAAAAACAATCAGAATTGCAAATCATAGTTTACATGTTCGTATAAGTATATTATTAACTACTAGATATTTTATACATTTTAGTGTCAACAACCTTGAGATATGTAATTAATGTGTAATTATCTACTGTTAGGCATTTTTTATTGAATGCGTATAATTTTAATGCGTAGAAAACTGGTCAGACATGAAAAATAAAAAATACAATAAATACCAATAATTCACTACTTTCGTGGTCCGTTTGACCAATTAATACATGACAATTAATTAAGGTTTTTAGGTACAAGGTACAATAAATACCATTTTCCAATATTCCTGCATGCACAATTTTTAAACGAATTTTATCGGCAATCAACAAACTTGATTTACAAACGTGTTTATCAATATGTTTAAATTATTAAGATCTGCTTCTTCGAATAGCGGAAATATTCAGATTTGACCTGAAAATTAAGAGGCTACTGTTGTTTAAGTATTTTCTTAAGTGTCATAAAAACGACAGAATTGTTATAAAAAATTGTTGTCAACACCCTTGAAAATTGTTGATAAATTTTAACAGTTAGGCTTTTCTTATTGTATCTAAATCTTGGACAGATTTGAGAAAACAAAAATATTTCTATTTGTTGGTCACTTGATTTATTTTGTACGCATTTAATAGGTAATTCATAAACGAGATTGACATAGGTTTTGTTATTAGTGACAAAATGATTAAAATGTGCTTAGCAGAATTTACAAATTAAAAAAAAAAATTTATTTTATTTTATTTGCACATCAGAATCTGGTCGTACTTTGGCTCCTTCAAAACATGTAAGCCCAGTATTTAAATCTGTGGTGATTAGTGACCGTTAGTCGATAATTATTCAGAAATCGTGACATGAGGTCTGGTGTAATGTAGGTTTCAGAAAAACATTTTCTTTATCGTGCAAACGTTTCGATCTTTATTGAGATCATCTTCAGGGCCTGGGATTTACAAATATTGTTTACATATTACAATTACATGTTGGATGTGGAAAAGTGAATTTTTACAATGCAAAATATATTTTATATACTCAATCAAAGTATTTCTACTCACTCAAAGTGTTTGTCGTCAAAGACATCACACCAGACCGCATCTCACGATTTCTAAATAAATATCGATTAACGGTCACTAATCACCACACTTTGATTGAATATAAAAAATATATTTGTGCATTGTATAAATTCACTTCTTTCCACATTCTACATGTATTTGTTAAATATAAACAATGTTTGTAAATCCCAGGCCCTGACGATGATCTCAATAAAGATCGAAACATTAGCACGATAAAGAAAAAGTTTTTCTGAAACCTACATCACACCAGACCGCCTCTTACGATTTCTGATTAACCAATATTTAAAGTTTAAAACATTACAGAGATTTCCATAAATTTTTGTGTCAATAAATTTGAATATTGTTAACAATTACTGGTCGGTTACTCACAAATTTATACGATTAATTAAAAATATATACAAAGGGGCGAATTTTAAGTTGAAGCTTAATGGAAAAATTGTTAGTCATGACGTTTCAATTACAAAAGGCGTTTTACAAGGGGGTGTCATTGTCCCTATTGTTGTTTAATGTATATTCTTGACTCATTGGCGGTCTCGCGATGTTCTGCATTCTTGTCTGCTACCCAATTTTGTTTAAAGAAAGTGAAAGAAGATTTAATTGAAAATTTGATGTTTCATCGGGTAGGATGAATTCTTAATACAACATGTAATCCGACTTTAACTATAATAATAGGGTAAATTCAAAGTAAAGCAGAATTGCACAAATAAGCGTTAGCTGACAAACAACAACGCCATTTTTAATTTAATGGCAATCTTATAATATAGTCATAATTAACACGTTCTATTTGCAGTCATGGCCAACCAGAGAGTATGGAACTATTTTTTTACATTGTCCAATATTTTCACCGCAACGACAAACGTATTTAAATAAGTGTGTAGAACTTGGCAAGCAGGACGTTAAAATAGGGATTTTATTATCTGCTAAAGAAAAAACTCAAGTTGATGATCTGTTCTATTTCTTTTCTGCTGCTATGAAATTAAGGGCATTTATACAGGCTGAATAAAATAATTTGTTGTATGCTATGTTAAGAAAATGACCACATAAACTGAGGTTACAAATAACCAAAAGACAACACATTTATTTTTTATTTTTATATTAGTACCGTATACCACTTGCTTCTATAGTACTTTTTTTTTACGAGGGTTTGCAACAGCAGAGGTCATAGCAACCCTCGGGGTGCCGGTGTTTTTGAAAAAAAAAAACCATTTTTAAGTACGTCTGGTTCGAATGCAGGGCCGCTGGATTCGAACCCGGGACCTTTACCTTACAGTGATGAGCGCCGTGTCAACGCCTAAACCGTTGCGTCCACCGGCGCTCCCCCCCCCCCTATAGTACCTTGTTACTTTAGAATTTAGCAACCTAATTATTCCTAATGATCATGTTAATGAGCACAATAAAATTTTATTTGTCTATCTTTAAACATACCAATAAATACAAAAAACGATTTTTTAAACACTTCTAGAAGAATAAAATAAATTATCCATATAAAGAAAAAATTTTCCCTATGAGAAATGCAAATTTTGGCTACCAACAGCCATAATCTGTCCCTCCAACATTAACCAAAATTAAAAAGAAACATTTAAAATAGTGTTTACTTTTACGTGTCGTTTTTAGAATTAATTAAATTACAGTTGTTCCACATATACTAGTAATGTTTGAACGAAACATTGTTTTCCTGATGCAATTATGAATATAATGGTTTTAGTTTCATGTTGATACTGTTCCGAACAAATTTCATGGTTGGGTAAAATTCGATAAGCACCAACTTCATAATTATATCGACCGCTTTTGGTCGAGGGGTTTTATTTCTCCACCGGTGGAACTTTTTCCCATGGAACTCGAACCTCGATCCTTTGTAATCTGTGATGATTTCGGCGCGATTATGTCCGGTGATCGTTCTACCCAACGACCCGGAAGATCTTCCACTGATATGTATTTTTTATGGCTTGTCATGAAAAGGAAAATGAACGGTGGGCGAGAAAAATTCAGGCCATTGATTCAAATTAGAAAAGAAAAGAAAGGGCCGAAAGTGAACGGTGTGGAAAACCGAAGGTTAAAAAAATACTAGAAGTACTCAATATTATTTCTTCAGGTGGAACACGATTAAAATAGATTTCCCTATGCACGAATGGAATTGATTATTATTTGACTAAATATAATATTTACAATTTACTATTGCTCTAATGCTTAGGTGATAAACTGATCAGTTAAAAACAAAACATATTTCCTCAAAGTGAAATCTTCTAAAGTGTAACAATTTTTCATAGTGTGAATGCGTTATAATTCTGAAGGTCTTAAAGTTTGAATTTAAAAATGTATATTTCCTCATCTAAAAAGTTTTTAAGTTATACAAACTCCCATAAAAGAGAGAACAACTAAAGGCTCCTTTATGCTCTGAACAATTTAGATATCTTTCTCAAATTTGATAATCAAAAACAAATAAAAACAATTTTACCAGTATCCAATTCTGACCCGTTTGCATGCTGGTTTTTTAAAATTAAATGTGAATTGCTTCCTCTCAACTATAATCCGAGAAGAGATAACTGCTTGATAATAAGAGCCTTTATTTGCGACATAAAATAAAAAATTTAACAAAGAGTGTATTAGGCATAGAATTAAAAGGAAGTTTTAGGTTAAAACCATTACCTATACCACCTAAATTTTTTTTATAATAGTAAAGAGAAGTATAAATATAAGCGTCACCAGTTCAAAGAGGGGAAAATTGGAAAAAACAACCTCGCTGATAAAATTTACAGAAACTTTTCCAGAGTGCTTACAAACATTACAATTTTTATCATTAACTTAAAATGATCTTCCAACACAAATGCAATGGAAAGGCCAGAGAAGACCCCTTCCATTTCTTAGCGGAAAGTCCGATTGTGGCAGAATTCAGATTGAGACACTTAGGTCTGTTCTCAATAACA